ACTGATTCCTCTTTTGTAACTCTTCTAGTAGCATCAGTTTTTTCCATGTGCCATTTCCTCCTATTGAATTATATCTTTAGCTATCTGCTTGTTGGCATTTTGCCACAATGGAATTAAAGCTTCACCCACCACTTCCTTGCGTGGGTAAAAAATAAATGCTGGGCTACAAAATTCCTCTCCTACTTCTGTTGCAACTCCTGGCTGAATCACACCAACCAGATTTATGGGAATGCCCACCCCAGTTATTATGGGTACTTTCTGGCTCTGCTTCGACATGTTACCAGCCAGCAAGGAAAGCGTTCCCCAACAGCACCGTACGGCAAGAAATGCATCATTGGGCATTTTGGCTGGTTGTATATCCACTCCCCCTTGGCGCCTCTTGCAAATTAGAAATCATGTGAAATGAAGAAAGACATGGGGAGACGGCCCCCAGTCACATACATGCATCTTCAAAGCCTCTTAAAATAACTGAGCAGGACCACACACAGCCTGATCAGATGGAAGCCGGAAGATACCGTAGGAATAAGTGCAAGGAAGGAGGCAGGGCCTGCCATAACTCTGCAATTAGCGAGGTCCTAGCTGCTGGGATATCTCACCCCATATCTCACCCTGATTAAAAATGACAAATCTAGGGAAACTTGCAAATAACAAATGCCCAGTTTGAAATCCCTTAAGAGACCTCATGTCGTTACAATGGGAAAAAGAAGAGGGTGCTGAAACTAGAAGGAAAAATTCCCCGCTGGCACCATTTCAAAGTTGCGCAAGTACGAAATTGGGCAAATAACCCCCTCTTCGGTCCCTCCCCTCTTGTTTTCTGTTGAAAGCTGGAGAGATGTTGATTTCAAAAAGAGGGGAATGGCAGGTATGAGAGGAGGAAGGATGGTGCTAATGGAGAGGCAAGCCTGGGAGAGATGGCTGTGGTGGAGACTGGCTAGTGGCCAGAGGGGTGTGTGTGGGGCTGGCACATCTCCCAGTACATCCGAAATGCATTGTGGTCATCCTCTGCAAAAGGTCACCTGACCTCATCTCCACGATAAAGGACGGCAAAGCTTTATAGATCTTACAAGTGTTGAAGCTGGGTTGGGTTGATGGGAGAAGAGCTATTTTTATTCCAGTGCATGCAATGAAGGCATCAGATAGTTTAGACCCTGGACTGGGGACAAACAAAGGTACTGTATGATGGATAAATCAGGAGGCGTCTGCTAGCACCTTTTCCAGCTGACAAATTTGATTCAACTACTTCAGCTTTCACGAGCAGCAGTCACTTCATCAGATCCATGGGGTGGGTTAGATCAGTGTTTCTCAGCCTTAGCATCTTTAAGAAGTGTGGACTTAACGTGGTTTCTTTGGACATGGCCTGTATGATGTCAGCCCTTCGAGGTAGGCCAGACTAGGAAACCAAAATCATGCAAGCTAATATTACTTTTATTATGAGGTTATAGTAACAGAATCTTGCAAGTCTGATTCCGCGTCTCTCCCCTCCCTCCCCTTATCTTCATGAGAACTTGGGATGGTCAAGTCTGAGATGTTTTCTCAAATTACATTCCTGCTTTGGACTCAGGTTTCTCTTATCCGACCAGTGTCTTGGCTGCAGCTCTTCCTCCTCCTCTTCCTCAGTTATTCCTTCTGCCCATTGTGTTTTTCAATCCAGGGTTAGAAAGTAGCATATTGTGGCTGGAATAGACACCCCAATGTCCCCCATGACCCAGAAATTCCTTTCTGCAGGATCTATGCTGGGCCCTTTTCAAATGCGAAACAAACCAGGCCTCTGTCTCCCACTGAAATAACGAGAATTGAGAAACATCCATCTAAGATGTTTTATTTTGAAACAGTACTAATACATGTTTAAGGAATGGAATAATTATAAACTGATATGGAATTTACTAGATGTTGCAGCACTTGACTAAACTGAGGATTACATGGGCATTTCCACCTATTCCAGATCTCCAAATGTTGAAACACGTTTCTGGCTCCAGGAAATCCAGTGACCCAAAGTAACCTTAAGAGTTATCTGAGGCTGTTCCCTTTCTCTGCTTTTGATGCCCACTAAAAACAAACTGCTTCAAAGCAGAATGTTTAATAGCTGCATGGTTTATATAGCTCCAGTGTCTTCATTTGGTTAACTTGACTGCCAATGTTTGAGTTTTTTAATGCTGAAGGTCAAGCATGACTGGCTGGGGAATTCTGGGAGTCGAAGTCCACACATCTTAAAGTTGCCAGGTTTGAGAAACAGAGCCCCAGATGATAACATATTTGCAGAAAGGAGAATGAGAAATGGAAGGAGATTCTTTTATTTTTAAACATTTTCAAACTGATATATGGACTGTGGCTTTTCAGAGGCAGAAGCTGAACCGCAAATGGGAACAATGAAAACTGTGTCATAGGAGCAGACAGACCATAAAATATGCGGGTTTAATGGCTGGGTCTGCCACCTTATGGTTAGCCAATGGAGAAACATCCAGTATTCAGATCCATAAATGGATGTAAAAATATTTTAGCAGTTGCAAACCCAAAATAGACGCAGTGTCATCAACAAGCTGACTGAACTTTAGAACAGCTGTTTCATAAAAATTCTGCGGAAAAAAAAAAGAGAGAAAAAGGGGAGGAAGGAGGGAAAATGTAGCTGATGACTCAGGATATACCAGTGGCTGAAGCTCCAGTTAAGAATTCTAAATTTAAATCTAAATTTAGCGAAGAACATGTTGATGCTGAGACTAGCCTAGCCTGATTCAGGGTCAGTAGGAATCTTGTTCAAGAGGCGGATGATGTCACATACGCCATGACCTCATCACAGAAATGATGCAAATCAACAGCTTTGTGATGACAGTGTAGTTTGCACCTGAACTTAAGTTTTGCTGAAAATGCAAGAGGAGGATCAAGAGGAGTGTTTTTAGAAACTAGCCCAAGCAGGCAAGGAAAAGAATTCTGATGCTTTCTGATGTTTTATAGCAAACTCCTTTGGAAAAACTACCTTTGGGTTGGATTAAACAATACTGTCAGAGGTTTGGATTACATTTTGTGTGTCCTCTTTAGCTATGATCCCATCTGCCCTTGTGTTAAACCCAGATGATATTTTTCACTGGCATCTTGTATCTCCGCAAGAGCTTCAAATGCTTTTTGCAGTTGGAAAATGATAGATTTGGGTCTGACTGAATTCCAACAGGTAACTTCTGATTGGTGGGCCCCAGAATAGGCATCTCTATTTACTCACATTGATCTCTCTCTCTAAATCCTCAAGCATGAGAGGCAATCAATTACAGTGCCAATTTATGAGAGAGGAGACAAAGCTGACCCAGCAAATTTTTGCCCTGCTACTACAGTCTCCTTAATATAAGCAGCAAATTGTCCACTGGGCATTTTTAGTGGAAATCAGTTCTGCAATGGAATCATGACATTTCGTTCTGATATCACAGTGGCTTCTGACCAATGCCTGTGATAGACACACAAACACCTTTGACCAAAAATAGCTAGAATCATCATAGAATGGGTTCTGACTTCTATTTGCAAGGTGAACAAGGGCAGCAATTTTAACTGGCTCCTCCTGCTTGCTCTAACCCATTGTGCCGTGCATTACGGGGATTTAGACTGTTGCAACCCTTTGAAGCAGATTCTGGGCACAGGAAGTTGGCTGGTTTACACAGGACAATCTACCTACCAATGAGCAAGTTGGGTTTACTGCAAGCTAGTCAACACTTCATCAGTGTATTGTTAACTTAACTGGCCCCAGGACTTGCTTATGGTGCTTCACTGATGGCAAGATGGCATTTGGCCCAATTCCTAGACAGGCTTGGGTGAAACTAGCAGCCTCTCCCATTGACTACTCCTTATTACAAGGTTACATGGAATCCAGCTTAGATGTGGCACTCCAGCATGTCTTTCTGACCCAACATCTATTCAAAAATGGGTTAACCAAGACTGCATTCCTCTTCTCAACGTAAGTACTCATTTTGTACTCCAAGCTTTGGCAAAAATAGAACCTCACCTGTCAAGTCTCTATCTAGCAATTAGATTCTCCCCGCATCCCTCTGTTCTCCAAGCAAACTCAAGATTAGCTACATAGATTTACTGAAGAGAATTTGGAAGCCACACTCACAAGAGATTCTCCATCTTAAAACACCCAGGAATATTGCCCTTTATATATGTTAGACTGACCCATAAAAACCCTTCCATTTTAGTTAGTGGCAGAAGTTGTAACAGTGATCCTGCCTCTGTATTTTTACGTCTAATGTGATCAGCCACCTATTCACAGATTTATAAAGACCTAAAGACTTCTAGAAGTTGAAAACGGATGCAGGTAAATTGTTAAAGAGAAAACCCACTAGAAAGATCCAGATCCTCAGATATTTATTTATGCAACTTCAGTATTTTATTTTTCAGAGCTGAAGCCCCCTACATTTAAAGGCCAATAGACACATTTAAAAACTTCTGAGAACGTGCTGCATGTCCCTCAAAATGGTTCCTGGGGATCTTTCCCATTCACAAAGCTGGTGGTGATTCTGTGTATTTCTCCCCACTTATTTTTATTTTTGTCCCAAGCACAGCCCTGGGCATTATTATTTTCTAAAAATGCCTCTGAGGCCACATGAGATTAGAGGGCATGAAAACGAAAGTACTGCTTTCTGATGTACCAGTTTCCCATTTAATTTAAAATTAAAAGCTTCTGAGTCTTATCTATGCAGTAACTCCCAAACACTTGCAAACAGAATCTCAGTTTAATAAAATTAAGCTGTAATATATTAAACTTTGTTTAATAATGTGCAAGAAAACAGTTCAGCCATCATGTAATCCACTGTCCTATGAAACTTGCAATATTGACTAGATAGAAAGCATCCAGGTTACAATCCACAATGGTGAAAACACACATTTCAGCATCATCCTGAAATCTAAAGATATAACTGGGAAAATGTTTTTACTCTATATGTAAAATAATCCCTGAGTGGAAAAGGTTTACTTTGGAAAATCATGGAATTCTAAGAGTTCCAGGCAGAGAGGCTTAGTGGAAAAAAAAAAATTATCTGAGCATTGTCACCAGACCAATTAATCAGAACCCAAAAGAATGAAACTTCTTTCCGTAACCTGTACTAAAATGTCCAAGTTAAATGCAGATGATGTTAAAGAATAATATTTTTTCCCCTATATAGGCACCCTGGGTATCTGCAGATCAAGTGAGGTCATCACAACAATATTTAAGTAATTTGCATCAGTCACAAGTGATACAGATTACATAATCACATCAATTGTGCAACAGCAACGCATGATACCATTCTGATGTCACTGCAGCTTTTACCAGATGGCTGAGAGGCCCACACACTCGTCTTTGAACAAAAAGTGCTAGAAATACCCCAGCCTGGGTTCAGATTCCTATTTGCAAAATGAACTGTAGTAATTAGGTGATTCCTCCTACTCAACCTGACCCACCATTGGAGATTCAGACTGTCCCCACTCTGAAGAACATTCAGGGGCAGAAGAGGAAGAACTGTGACGCCCCCTTCAAAATACCCCTCCTCTTCCGTGTGTCAGAGCCTCCAGTTCATGGAGTTATGCTCCACACAACTCTAGATCCGGGCCAATGCTTTTTAATTTATATTTCAGAAAGCGTTATTCATTCACAATACAAATGACTAACACGCAGGGAATCGGCCTAAATATGATATTGAACTAAGACTTAACATGAACGGAAGGGAGAAAATGTTCACAAGTCTTGTTTTGCACAACTCCCATTCACAGGAGATTCTTGAATTTGAAATGTAGTGACAAAAGTACCTGGTTATAAATATATTTACTAGATTGCTGCATCAGAGAAAGCTGCTTGAAAGAAGTCATATTTGCAGTTATCTACCAGGAGACACACGTCCAGACCACGTGTTTACTTGCTAAATTGGCAAAATAGGAAACCCACTCATGCTTTAAGCCTAGGAAAATACTTTCTGCTATACTGTTTAGTATAATAGGCTCGACTGTTACCTTCTGTGGAAAGCTATTTACACCTTATCCTTTAAATGTGTCTGGAAATGAGCACAGCTTTTCTTCATTTTTGGCATTGACTTTCCCTGCACAGTTTTTCTAATATGCTGGTTGCACAAGGGAGCACGCTCAGTGTCCTTGAGCATGAGGTGCACTCCAACTGGAATCGGGTCATCCTGGCTGCTCTAAGCACTTGGCCCCAAAGACAGCTGAGGGACAGAACTTCACACTGCTCTCCACCCACGGCTTCCATAGTCTATCATTCAATTCTCTGAAGCTCTGGGCCAGCATCTCATCGTACCTTCAGCCACACCTGTCTTTAGCTTCTAAGTGCAGATTTGCTCCCTTTTATCCAACGATCTTTGGTCATTTTGGCATTCAAGTTAGTGTCCAGACCAATCTCAGCAGACAGGAAAGCAGAAGCGATGCGCCCAGTTAGTTAGCCACAGCTGGAGGCCCCTCTGGCAGAAGTGAGGCAAAGAAAGTCTTAAAGAAAAGCCAAGCTGTGCTCACAAATGAAAATGTTGTGGCTGGCTGGTTCTCGCGTGCGGCATCCGGTGCCTCAGTTTCATTTTGTTCTCCTGGGTTTTCCTCCTGCTGAGACAAGGGGGGAAAGCAAAGTTTAATTATATGGACACATCTTCCTGAGAGCGTCCAACTGTTTGCATTGTTTAATTAGGCTGAAGCTGAGCAATTCTTTTCTTTTTGCTGATTTTAGACAACGTCTCTGCCAGCACCATTCACTGGATGTCTACTTCATCGTAAACTTCCTGAACTTAAACTATGTCTCTACTCTCAGGTGGGCAGAGTGCCTGTAGAACCAGATGTAACTTTTTAGTAATTTTATCTTTCAAGGCTACTTCAGCCCCCAAGATGAGTATTAATGAGATTATTCACTCGCTGTATCACTACATCATCTTGGCAGGATCAAGGGTATCAAATGGCAACTGACACAGAATAGACATATGCCAGCTTCCACAATCCGGGAATTGAATGTTCTGAACAATAATGGGATGTTGTTCCTCTCTGGGCCCTGCCACACCTCCTCCTGGACTACAGCTGTTCCAAGGATGGTTGGGGGTTTCCAGAAGGAAGTCCTCTAAATGAAACAGTTTGAAATGTATTATGCTGGACAAATCAGGTCTGTCTGGGGGCCAAACCACCCCAGGGACACCTCAACCTATCTCCAGTTCAGATGCTGTACTTCCAGGTATCACTGAATTGCCCTGGAACAGCATGATCATGGTCCAAAGGGAGTCTGAACAATTAAGCACACTTCGTATGGAAGCAAGGCCCCATTGAACAAGCGACTTAAGTTCGCCTGGGAAAATTCTGAAAAATAAAGGTTACGACTATGATGCTATCCTGCGTGAAACTTACTTGTAAATTGTTATTCTGATCTTGGTTAACGGCAGCTTGGAGAGGAGTATTATTCTGTGGTGGCTGGATCGGCCTCCGCCTGAAAGGGAACCAGCCAACCTGGTGTCTAGGAAAAGAAGTTGTTTGTTAGAAAGGCAAAACCCCCTTGAGTCAAGATCAACTTCTGTTTTCTACATAGGCACAACTATGTCTTCTTGGCAGTGATGCAGAAGTGGTCTGCCACTGCCTTCTTTCAGCATGTTTTCTGACTTCCAGTCTAGCCAGCCACTCTCAATTTGCTGGGGAACTCCTTCCAAATATAACTAGAAACCACCCAGCTTTGCTTTTTTAAGCTCAGCCAAGCCCACCAGGTTACAGCCATTTGCTGAGGCATCTCTTAGCTACACCAACTCTTTAAGCTTATACCTAGTCAACAGAGAAGGGGGGGGGGAAAAAGAGCCAGCGTGGTGTAAGGGGTTAAGGCATCCAGCTAGAAACCGGGAGGCCATGAGTTCTAGTCCTGCCTTAGGCACAAAGCCAGCCGGGTGACCTTGGGCCAGTCCCTCTCTCTCAGCCCTGGGAAGGAGGCAATGGCAAACCACTTCTGAAAAACCTTGCCAAGAAAATCGCAGGGACTCATCCAGGCAGTTTCCGAGAATTGGATACCACTGAACAAATTAAAAAAAAAAAGCTGGCTACACAATTAAGAAGTACAGCAAATCAGCAAAAAAGAAGGCACAACACTGAGAAGGAACCTTGTTTACTGCAACAATTAATTGTTGGGTGCCTGCTTTACAAAAAAAAAGAGGGACCCTGAACAATGGGACAACACAGATTTTTAGAGAAGTTGAGGGCTACAAGGGCGAGATCCTAAGGATCTGATTTGCTGGCAACTTTGGGGGAAGCTAGGCCAGTCCTTGTCTGTGTAGCTGGGGTTATGTCTATTGTTAGGGAGAACAGCCCTTTCAGGAGCAGCAGCACCGGCAAAGCCCATTGTTAGGGAGACGGCGTGTAGGGATAATGCTCCACCTGAGGATGAAAGGCTGGGATTAGGGCTGCCCTTGGGCTGGTGAGGCAGCTTCTCTTCTTTGGTTCAGATGGGAGTGCAGGGGGCTTTGTCTAGGGGCAGGGAGGGTCAATCTGGGTCTGATGGCATTAGGCAAAGAGAGGAGCTGGGGCTGGCCCTGGTCACTTCCAAAAGACAGGGAGGAGAAAGGGTGCAGCCTCCATTATGTTTGTGAGATCTGTTTTCTCCACTGCACAGCCTGTGGCTGACTCCCTACGAAGAAAGGAGCGAAATGCTGGCAGCTCCAAGACTCCTCTCAGAGAAGTTCTTCCAATTATGCCACAAGAGAGCTGGGCACACTGCATGGCATGAGCAAGCATCATGGGTGTCATACTAATCTAGGCTTATGAATAAGAAAGAACACCCTTTTGTGAGCGCTGAACTTTGAGTGGGTGTGGCTCACAGGAAATCCTGTTGGCGCAAACTCTGGACTCTGGCTTTGTCCATTCAGAAGGGACTAGAGAATAATGCCATGGCTTGTTTTTAATTCCGGGAACAGCTCTATTCTCTGTCTTCCATCTGGGTGACTGAAGTCACGGGCCGGCCTTTGCCCAACACTTAAGCAGATGAATCAGAGACTTCTGTGAAAGGAGCCTGCAGTTGCTTCATGGCTTCTCCAAAGACTGGGGGAGTATGACGGTTAACTTCAATCCAGGCAAGCAGAACGTGAGACCAGATGGTGAAACACAAGCTCTACTAATGAACAATGGCCAAACCCATACACCTCTGAATGGGCTTAACACTTGTAACCCCAAATCATCATTTCCAGCATTATAATGGAACCACACCAGGTACTCCCACCTCAAGCGTTCAGATGTTCACATGATGTGGCTTTACACCAATATTTTTAGATTAAAGTGATATGCAGAACCCAGCCGCTCCCCCCCTCCAACACAAGCAGACTTACAGGTACATGAGGAGAGTGCCTGCCATCACCAAGACAAGCCTGCTCACGCTGGAGTAAAAGTACACAATGTTGACGAACACATAGAAGAGGGTGGCAGAGTACAGCCAGTCCAACCAGTCGCGGTTGGCTTCTTCATCCTCCTCCATCAGGGGGCCTCCCTGAGCGTTCATGCGCAGGTTTGGGTTAACTCCTGGGTTTGCCTGAGGGGGAGCATTTTGATCGACGGGCGGGTTTTCAGCAGGAAATGGACCGGGAAGAGGAGCTGGGGGGGTCACCGGAGCCACGGAGATCTCCTGGGAACTTCGTGTGGAGGACAAGTCACCTGAAGTAGCATTGGCAGCCATACTGAAGAGAAAAATAAAACAAAACACTACTTTCATGCTGAAAGTAAGGCATGAAAACTGAGTACTGACAGCATCAGGACAGCTTAGTTTGTGAAATATAAACGCATCCTAAATTGTAAGATTTATCACTCTAAAGTGCACTGTACAACCTTTTAAGACAAAATTCAATTCTGGGACTGTCTTCACATAACGCGCTTGATTCAGTCACTGAATTAATCCCTTTTTCTGGAGTCATACAATATATTTAACCATAAGCTAAAACAAAGTGGCTGGATTTACAGAATACACTAAGCCCAAATAAAGTTAGACCAAGGTGCAAATACCAACTGGAAGTCTTCAAACTGTGCAAATTCAGCCAGTGGATGACACAACTATGATATTGCATCTCTGTGGAAGCCTGTATGAGTCTCGGAGAGAAGTGTGCAACGTCACAGCTCGGTTGCTCAGGCTCCCAACCCACGCTCTACTTACACTGGGCCCAGATAAAGCTACGGCAAAAGCGAAGATTGCAACCTGACAGACTGGGCATGCTCTGTGTCCCTTCCATTACATAGTAACATCTTATGAGATTCAGGAAACAAGCCTTCTGTCATGGCACTCGTCTTGTGGAACAGCACCCCCCACGCCCTGAGATCCAGATGGGCCCAACCCTTCTGTCCCTCTATAAGGTGGCTTTTCCTTCTGGGGCTGGGAAGTTAAGTGAGCTCTGCTGGATACTTGTTGGCTGTAAGATGAAAAGGATTTACAGGTAGTCCTCAGGTTAAGAATGCCCAGTTTAAGGGCAACCCATAGTTAAGGATGGAGCCTATTGTAGCAAAATTCAAATTAAATACACAATGGTTCGAGTGCATTACACAATATTACTTATACAGTACTATACAATAGTACTGTTCCAGCTTACATACAAATTTGACTTAAGGACAGACCTTGGGAACAGAACTTGTTCTTAAACTTGGGGATTACCTGTATTTAGATCCACAATAGGACAGATAAAAAGAATCTCATACCCTTGCCTCAGAGATGCCCAATACCATCCCTAAATATTTTTATAATATCCTCTCCGTGCCACCTAGAAAGGCATTCACATTAGAAAGATTCAGCATTGTACCCTCAAAGGTGTTCAGAGATTTATTAACATCTCTTACCAAGAAGGCCTCTTTGTGGACTCAGAGGTAGAGAACAGATCCACACATTCTGTTTAGCAGCTCTCTATACTGTGTCTGATTCTTGACAGGGTTGCTCTTCTCTGAACAGAGTTGGCACACAATGTTGGGGCTCTCATCATTCCTGCTCAAGGAGCAGGTGGTAACTGGGCTGGGGGGGGGCTTTGCACAGATTCATCTTGTGTGCCAAATGTACCCATATGGACCTGGACAGGAAGGCCTTACTCACAGTCACTCAGGCCTAGGTCACTTCTTGGTTGGACTACTGAAGGTGCTCTACGTGGGGTTGCCCTTGAAGACCACCCGGAAATTACAACAAGAAATCTCTATGAAAGTTGCAAAATTCTGCATTACAGGAAGTGCTGCTAGAAGATGCTGGGTCTGACTGACCTTCACACAAGAACAGATTTTGTCATGCATGCCAGTTTATGAAGTCCAAATGTTTTTTTTAATTATTCCTTTCTATAAATTGTCTCTATCCAGCTCTGATCTTTTCTGCTAACCTTTTGTCTATTATTGTAAAGCACACGTACTCAAAACACTCACATTCTTCATCTGTACTGACAGCTTCATATTACGTGGAAGATTTTTGACAGTTAACAAATGATTCCTCCCGCACAACACTATATTAGCATGAAAAACGTGAAAGGCTTAGCACGTAACCTCAGATGTAAGGAAAGATTAAAAACAAAACTTACTATTGCATGTAGTATTGTCTTGCATAAAGCTGATGGAACCAGATCTGCAGCATGTGATACGCTGTGTAGGATGAATAGCTCGCTCCTTGAAAGGCGTGTTCAGCCACCTGAGATCTGGTTTAGAAGACACAGAGAAAATGCTGCCGTTATTTTCCTCCTTCTTAACCTATTTAAGGTGTTTAGCAAAGGTTTGTGTGATGCTGTAAGCTTCAAATCAAGAATTTATGTTTATGTACCTGAAAAAAGAATGTAACGATGTTACAGTCAGCTTTGTTAATGGAAGGAAAGTGTCTCTGGGCTAGCAAAGGTTCATAAACCCCCAGCCTCTATTCATGCTTCCTGACTTTCACCAAGGCTGAGCGAACAGGTTTGGGGAAGGTGTTTGCCTTGCCATCATGAAGAGGGAAGACAGAAAGTTTGTCCTGCTCTTTCATTCTAACTGAAAAATGCCTGCCTTTTCTTCCAGCCTCCTATAAATATCAACAGATGAAAGAGAGGCACGGAAACCACCAGCTTTCCTCCCATTTCTAATGACACAAAGGAAAGACGTGTAGTCACCCCTCTTACCAAAAGGATTTTCTGATGCTCATGAAATGCCTCATTCATATTCGGGCGCAAGCATTTAATCCTGTCCACCCTGCAAGTCTTACATGGCAACACCTGGCTGAACTTAAGAGATGGTGGAAAACTAAGCACAGTTGAAAGGTTGATGGGATATAAGAATACAAAATCCCAGGACCTGGAGAGTCCAAAACACTTCCCAGAAGAAAACAATGCCACCCTGCTTCTGTGCTGAGGCCAGGGAACTACACGGATGTGCCCATAAAGTTACCAGGACTAGAATTCAAATCAGAGACATTTCTCTTCTACGACCCCACAGGAAGAACCGGACACTCAAACGTACCTCGTGCTGGCTTCCCCTGCTGTGACAGACTGGCTGAGGGCAGCCTGCCTTTGGCTACAAGCAGCACTTGGAGGAAGGACCGATGGATCCTGGTCCAGCGATGTGGAATGCTGCCTGGTTTCACCCATCTAAACAAACAAGGATTTACCGCTGCATTTTAAAACTGGCTTCAAAATGTCTGTTCCAACTCGCTCACCTCCATTTCAGGCCCCCACACGACCCCTCTGAAGCAAACAATTCCATTTTGTTAGGAAATCATAGGTAACAAGGGAAGGATAATCTATACCGGAACGTTCAATTGTTGACAAAGCCGCCTCTCTGGGGAGCCCACAATGCCTGATTTCCCCCAATGTCCTCATTCAACCTAAAGAACAATGGCTAGGTTCACCCAGTCTGCTAAGCCAAACAGAGCCAGTAAGCCATTATTTCCTGAGCTGCCTAACGTGGAAATCGGGTCACTGTGTCTTGTTCAATAAACCAGAGCTGAAACTACTCCTGGCTTTCTGTGCACTCAGCCCCTGTATCAGTTGGCTACTGCCTTACACCCTAGAACAGTGTTTCTCAACCTCAGGAACTTTAAGATGTGTGGATTTCAACTCCCAGAATTCCCTAGCCAGCAATTTCCCAGAATTCTTCAACCAGGAATTGAAATCCACATATCTTAAAGTTCCCGAGGTTGAGAAACACTATCCTAGAACGACATTCTTCTTAGTTCAACAGACCCAATTCCCTCCTTTCCAGCACTGCCTGTCAAGAAGAAACAACTATCCCTCATGTGGTTCACCTGAAAGATCTTACATCCAGTAATCATCTGTACCTGTTGAACATCTGCCCTCTCCAAAAAAAAAAGCCCCATAACTGCTCATTACCTTTACACTATAGAAATCTTGCCAGGTTAACAAAATCTCGGGATTTCTGGCTTCATGTACACCTCTTCTGCACTCTTCCTACGGCTAAAGAAAGCCTGAAATTTGGGCAACATTTTTAAAAGACTGATTCTGATTTGAAAAGCCTACAATCTAACAAGTCAAGATGTTAGTTCTTCCCCTCCTGCCACTTCTACAGATGGAATATCTCCCAGGGCCAATGCCTAAGCACCACCACACAGCTGCTTTTGGCTTCCTGTCACTTCAAGTCGCCTCACCCGTTTTTTTCCATGATTGACACCTGTAATTATTGTTCGTTTTAATTTCCCAATTAAAAAAAAATATACCTGGAGAGTTCTGTCCTCTCCCTGTTGAGTCCCCTCAAGCACCACCTTACAAACAAGCATATTTGCAAAGCTAGCCACCCTGGGTTGGTGCTTCTGCATATTTTGGTGAACAGCAGCTTCCGGGACAGAGCTGTCGCATAGCAACAGCCTGTTTCTGGCAGAAGAGACCCACTGCTGCAGAGGGGAAGTTGGTGTACAAGGATGGGAAATGTGTGGCCCTCAGATGTCACGCAGGTAACAGAGCCAAGAGTTAGCAACTGATCAACACATGGAGGACCACCGGTTCCCTTTCTTGCTTTTGGAGTAGTCAAGTGTGAAACAATGAAATTTACGTTTCCTGAATACAGAAGTGGTTTCATACATGGATGGAGGTGGTCTCTTGCTTAGTAGCTTAACCCAGTATCAGAAAATTCAGCCAGGCATCATCGCTTGCAAGACTGGGGAGTCTTTGAGGACCTACTAACTTGCTGCTCCTTTTCACCATTTATACTCCTCCTCCTCCATCCTGCCTTTATTCTGCTCAACTCAAGGTAGCGTACGTAATGTTCTCTCTTCCTATTTTGCCCACAACCACCTCCTTGAAGAAGGGGACTGGCCCAAAGTCACTCAGTCGGCTTCTGTTCCCAGAGAGGACTAGAGCTGACATCTTCTGGTTCCTAGCCCAACACCTTAACCATGACACCAAACTGGCTTTCCTTGTTCCAGCTTAAAGGAGAATGGGCTAATAAGGAAGAGGTTTCAGGAGGAGCTGGAGCTGCTGTTGCTGCTTCTTTGCTCACAGGTTCTTCACTTGGCCAACAGGTTTACTCTGAAAGAAGCCCTCAAAAAGCATCTTCCCTGAAGGAGTCAGACTCTAAGGAACTGGTTTATATCATAATGTCTCCTCCATAGCTTCCCCTGCTCTATAGCTATGCATTTACGTCAACAAGTGCAGAATCATCGGCCAGAAAAACTAGACACTAAGGTAATCAAAACACCTGAGATATATCACCAGCATTTACCACTATTGTTTCAAGCTGATCTGAACAATTCTGAACTAACTAGCATCTACAAACTAGTTTCACTACATATGCCACTTTTACTTTACCAGTTTCAAAGAAAAGAGCACAGAGTCTTAAAAGCCCAGACGACCAAGATGGGACAACTTAGAAGAGCAGCTACCTTCCTTACTGCTTCATAATAAATTCTCCCGGATATGATAGAAACCAGTGTTGTATTAGATGGAGGTTTGCAAGATAACATTTGTGCTCTCAAAATACTATTCTGACTCCTCTCAGCATAAATAAGTTACAGACCAGATGTTCCAGTTTAATATCTGTTATCAAAAGTCAGTGATAAGCTAGCATCTGAATCACTACTTCTCAATACCTTCATGTCAGTTTCTTGCATCTTTGGCAAATTCTTAGAGTTGCACACCAAATGGAGAGCATGAACCGTCTCCTGCTGAAACAGAAAGCATATTAAAGTTTCAAAGAAGGATTCAGTGGAGTATATTTTCTTGATACTTCATTAATTATGGAAAGCAATCCCAGCACGTAATATATCACATACTTTGGTGAGGACCTCTTGTAGACAAAGATGATCATGCAACAACTTTCCAGAATAGATCAACCTCTGAGCGTCTTCAGGCTGGGAAGGAAGAAAACACAGCAGTTAAAACCTATTTTTAGAATTCAGCAAAAGACGTAAGGTTCCTCATTTTTGTAATTATGCAAGGATGGATTTTTGTCTTAAATTATAAAAAGCTGATCTTTGGACAACCAGCTGAGCAAGAAGCTTTAGGTCCAGTCTCAAAAGGAAAACACTTCCCCCTTAAAGAATGAGGCTATAATTGGATTCCAGTTGTTTCATCAACCTAGTGACTGAACTGTAGTTGCACATGGAGCTTGTCCTTCATCAATAGGCTAAGATTAGCTAAATCACTGCAACAAATACCAACTGCACAGAAGAGGTTACAGAAGGAGCCAGAGAGCTGGCTGTAAATACTGAAACTGGTTTCAGTCTATTCTAGAGAGGCAGCTTTGTTTAAAAACAGAAAAAGAAGCTGCTGGTTATTTAAGATTTGTTAGTTATCCACCTGTATTTTATGGCTTAGATTGTTTTCCTTTTCTTACTAAATTTTCTATATTCTTTTAGATGTGTATCAGCAATATTTATACATGCTATAATATATATATATATATATATTACAGCATGTATATAAATATGTATTAAAAATGGAACTCTCTACTCCTGGTTCTGACCAGGGCAACATATGGCCACCTCTGAAACCAGGTAACACTGTTCACCTTGGAAGAAGGCCAAACTTCTGCAATTATCAGCAACCTAGGCCAAGTTGACAGACATTTATGTTAATTATTGACATGAGTTAGGAACCTTTATCATGCAACCTTTTCTTCTGATTGCTAATCAGCAGGTGAAAGGAGATTTCTATAGGACTCTTAATTTGCACAGCAACCCCATGTTTTGTCTTTAAACTGAGGCACTATCCTTGGAAATTCACAGCACATTTCTTTCAGATGTAAGGACTGGTTTCTATGCTAGCCTTTTCCAACCAGACACCCTCCAAAGGTGTTAACAGCACCGCCCCCAAACATCTGGAGGATATCAAGCTGCTCTGCACCTCAGTTTTGTAGCTGGCACCTTTTATGGTCAGAATAAAACATATTTCCTTGCTTCAAGAAATCCTTGCACTGGAAGACTAAACACAAATTCAAAACTGAAAGGGTCAAACCCTAACATGCCATTGTACAATCTCTACCAGCAATCAACATGCTACACTGCACGTTAGGTCTATCAACAGGTCAAAAGAGCTAGCTAGCATGTAAAGCCACAACAAAAAATAGATGGGCGACATTGAACTACAGTACCCAGCATGTACCATCAGTGGCCTTGGTGAATGACGTTGCTGCAAAACACCTCCCAAATTCCTGGAAAGGTCACACACCACCCAGCCTTGGAATATTTTGTATTACAACAAGCTACCTCATGTTTAAGATCATTCTTTTGTCCCTTCATCTTCCCTGTACATGCAATTAAAAGTTTTTATCATTTTCACTCCTGTACCACCACGCAATATCTAGGCAATACCAATCAACTAAATTTTCTTATGAAGCCCTTCTTGTCATTAAATGGCCAAAATACCAAGCAAAAAATAAATAAATGTAGAAATGCACAAATATATTTATGAAATCTTCCAGAAACCTCTCTTCTCCTTTCCAGTTAACTTTAAACAAATAAAATACTGCCAGTCAGCTACCAGTTGCACCATCTGCTTTCCAAAGCAAAGAGTGTAAAAAAAAAAAATTGTTTTGAGGAAGAAAAAGATACAAAAAAGCAACTGTTTACACTTTTTTCTGCTTTAAGCACTAGCTTTAGAAAGAGTTTAAAGATATTTCTGAATTCTAACAGCAAAGAAGAGAACTTGTTCGCAGGAAGATGCTTTGAAAAAATTTAGAATACGTAAAGAATTTCATTGCAAAGAGCAATAAATGAAAAGCAATATACAACAAGGACAAAATGTTATTTCTCTTCCCATTTAGTTGCAGGGATCTAGAAAGTTTCATAATATATGTACTGCTTACTGATGTGGAGAAGGCATTTCACTTTGGTCTTATGTGCTGAAAAGTTACAACTCTCAGAAGCAAACAAAACAGGAAATGATGAAAGCTTCTGATCTGATTTACCCAAAAGCACCAACACTCCCAGAATGTCATCATTCTAAACATTAACAATTTCCATAAAAATATTGCAAGAAAAGTGGGCCTGGCTGGTTCCCTACACAGTCACCACCACACACAGCAAGGATTTTTTTTTGAGGCAATCCCCTTCTACAGCCAAACCTAACTCAAAAGGGGTAAAAGATCAGGGTAAACCCTTGCCCCTTGCTCAGATTTTTGGTGAAAATTCAAAATACACAAGGGACATCTATGGTGTGCACAGCAGGCAGCGCCAGGGAGTGACAGAGAAATTCTTTTAAAATCGTGGAACAGGACACCCAGCTCCAGTGGCTGATCCCGGCTGACCTCAAAAAGCTCAGCAGAATCAGACCTTGGTTAGTGCTAGAATAGGACACCACCAGGAAATCCAGGATGGCTTCTATCTTTCCAGTCTGTCTGGGATTTTCTGCATTTTTTCCCCCTTTTTCAGATGTAATAGGGTCCTTGCTCTGAATTACATGGCGGAGCAAATGCACCCTGCACTTGCTCAGAGGCTCCACCCCCCGGCCTGGTGCCCCCTTCCCCCCTAGAGAAAGCGAGGCTGGGCAAGGGGGCCACCTGCTGGGGGGTCAGGTCATCCCCACCAGCACCACGCTGGAGAAGGCCAACAGGGGTTCCTTGCTGGCAGGGGACCACTCCCATCATCCCCAGCCGCGCCATTGGGCAACGGCGGCGGGGGAGGACGCCCAAGCCCATCTTGGGGACGCCAAGGCAGGGAGAAGGCGCTTAAGCTCCACCGCCTTCTTCCTAGTAACCCACCCAGAGTCCCGCGGCCCTTCGCACGCAGCCCCAGCCAGCAAGCGAGCGGGGGTGGAATAGACTTCGCCTGTCCGAGGAGGCTCCCCTTCGCGTGGGAGGAAGGGGAAGGGCGACCGCGCATGCGCGCCTCACGGCTCACCGGTGCGTCCGGGTGAAGGCGTCGGAGCTCCGCCTTGAGGCGCCGGACACTCCAGGAGCGCCGGGCCGTCAGGAGCAGGTCCGTGTGCCGCTGCGCGGGGCTCTTGACAACAAGGCCCACCTCCTCCGCCACCTCCTCGGTTCGCCCGCCGTCCATCCTCCGCTGCCTCGAAATCCACCCGCTCCCTGCCCGCCCTTTTCGGTCGACGACAGCGCAACTCTCGTGACGACGGCTCCTTTTATAGCCTCGCCGGCGGCTCAGGCCACGCCTCCCTATCGTCACGACGTCGCTGTGGCCTCCGGGGATTGGCCTCCGGAGCGACACTGATTTCAGACGTGGACCTATTAGGAGTTGCCGCTGGCGGGAGAGGATGGAGGGGAAGGCGCGATAGGCAGGGCGAGGTCTAAAGAACCTGTCAATCTGGAGGCGGGAAGTTGATCTTGGCCAGTACACAGCAGAGGCGAACAGGGTCCTCTTATTGGACTACCACTCCCATGATTCCTTGCCTCCGGCTAGGTCGGCGGGGGTTGAGGGGAGTTGAAGTCCAAAATCTCAACAGGCTTCCTCATTTCATAACCGTGTTTACTGTATTGCCGCCGCGTTCCCATAAGAAACAAGGCTAAACTAAAATTAGGTTGTCTGTGGTTCAGGCTGTTGTGGGAACGCAGCCATTGCGTCAGCATGAGGGGTGTGCCAGACCATCACATTAAGCTGTAATGTGGTTGGTTTGGACATGGTGTAACGTGAGTGCATCAACTCTGTTTTGCGGAGTTTAGCAAGAGGTGAGGATGCACCCCTAAAGCAGGGCTCCTCAACCTTGGCAACTTTGAGACGGGTGGACTTCAACTCCCAGAATTC